TATATATATAATAATATTATTATATAATATATATTATATATATATATATATATATATATATATATATATATATGTGTAAAATATATAAATTAACTGACAGTCGATCCTTCTCTTAATCTTACATAATGATTATGTTACAAATTTCAAATCGATCGAGTGAGTCCATAACGATTCTATAACGCAAATATGCCCCTATCCATCCCAGCTGCGAAATAGTCCCGATGCTCGGCGGAAGGTGGAGAACGCCAGCGGTATCGAGCATCGTCTTGAATTTAATTAAATTCACTTCGTACCGCCTTGCACATCCGCTTGGATCAGACGAGCTGCTCTAGAGGCGCGCATCTAGAGAACCGGATAAGAGAGCGACTAACGATTCAGTTGATTGCGAGACTTAAGAGAACTCTCGACGACGTTTCATGATGATGAAACTCGCGTCGACGACAAACGATCCGTATGATTACACGAACGAATGGTTTAAACTACATGTTACAGGGTTCCAAACACACATGTTCAAAATAATCCGAAATTAATCTACCCTTGAATTGAATGATTGTGCTACAAAGAGATTGTACATAAGCAGTTTGCAAAGGATAAAGAGATTTAAGAAAATTCATAAATTTAAAAGTTCTGCAATTAGGTGTCTTGATAAATACTGATACTGAAATAAAATACAATATCTAGAATAATATATTGGCAACTGGCAAAAGACTAAGAGCATTTAAAATAGAATCTATCAAACTCTTGTGAGATAAGTTAAATATTATGTATATAATATAAAAAAATGTGAAATGTGAAAACATATATTAAATATAAAAGTTAAAAGCTGTAACAGAATAAAAGTATTGATAAAAATATTTTTTAATCTATACAAAAGTGTTTATTCGAAAATTCGAGAAAAAAACTTTAAATTAAAAACGTAAATTAAATGTCTTGTCAGATTTGACATGAACATCATAATCGAGACGAAGCTGAAGAGGATAGAACACGTCGCAAAAGCATATCCTTATGCGCGTGCGGTCATAAGAAAGTTCCGATCCGCGGGAATTCGGCGGAATTCCCGCCACGTTCGGGACGAGATAAATCTGACACGACTCATCCGGGCCGTCGATACGGAGATCGGCCTGTGCACCACCTGGCACAGAAATACTTGCCGGCTATGCAGCAGCCGAATCGGCGGAATCCACGTAAATCTTTACTTTTACTACAGAACGGAAGATATCTTCGCAATAGGGCACGCGGAAAATGGCGCGGAAAGCTCGGCGAAGCTCACCGATACGTAAAGATATATATTTCTCGGCGTACGTGACGGGGATTTTTAAAAAGGAGGCACGATTGACACAACTGGTTATAGGGGAATGACAGGTATTTTCAGGTATCAAGTACTTTCAG